ATAGAAGTAGTTAATTCAATAGTGGTAATATATAAAATAAAGATTGCATATAAGGATAAAATACAGCAAGAACGAATTAGTTCGTAGAAATAAAGATAGAAAGTAATTCTAATCTCATAGTTTAGAGGGAAGACAAATAGTGTATACACTTACACCATTGTAATCGATTCGGAACCACGTCACACACAGTCTCCAACCATTGGTTACGATAGTCACACGGACACCAAACAAGTAGTCTGTGTCTGCCAACATTGCTAAGATCAGAAGTTAGTGACTTCAATGACTGATGCCACGTCTTCGTTTGGCCGTCTTTAACTTTCTCCCAACCATCTCCAACACTTGTCAGCATTGCGCGTCATGGTAAATGGTGTTTTCAGGCATACGTAACACGTGGACCAACCATCTCAGTCGATGAAGATTAACAACCTCATCAACTGATTCACCATCATTCCCTAACACCCTGCGTCTAACCTCACCATTACTTACCCGGTGATCCCAGCAGATGCAAGCAATATTTCGAAGGCATCTGTGGTCAGATACTAGTAGCTTACGAATATTTTCAACTCTTAATGGCCACATTTCGCAGCCGTAAAGTAGAATAGAACGAACTGCCGCGCAGTATACTCGGTCCTTTTATTGACAGACAGATATCTCGCCTTCGCTATAGGTGACGTAAGTTGGCAAAAGCCAAACGAGCTTTTCGATTCCGTGCTGAGATTTCGTCAGACACCAACCCATTAGGACTGACCAGACTTCCGAGATAAGTGAAGTTGTCGATGCGTTCGACTACTTCATTCCCTATCCTTAGTTTAGGTGTTGACGCAGGCCATTCCTGGAGCAACAATTTGGACTAAATGTACAATATCTCGAAATTCTTCGCAGCACTAGAGTCATCACTCAAAGCTTCCAGAATAAGTGAGGAAACGAAACAAGAAATAAGGCAAACTATAGTACCGTTAACTCAATGGATGAAGGAAAACAACCAACTGACCCCACAAGAATAAAAAGATTTGAAGGAACTCAGAACTGGAAAAGATATCGTCATAGTTCCGGCGGACAAAGGACGCACCACAGTGATTATGGACAAAGAAGAATACGTCGAAAAAGCCGAGGAACTAATTGAGTACAAAAGCGCATACAAACTGATAGACATAAATCCAGTCAAAAGGCTAGACAACCGAATCTCAAAGACTTTAAATAAGCTCATCAAAGCAGGAAAAATAACAAAGCAAGATCAATGGAGAATGAAATCCAATGGACCAGTGCTCCCTCGATTCTACAGCAGGCCGAAAATACACAAACCAAACATCCCACTACATCCAATCGTGGCACTTCCCGGAACACCAACGTACAATTTGTCAAGAGAAATCTCACGAATATTAAAACATTTGGTGGATTCACCCAACCACTCCATCAAATCTCCCAAACAATTCCTTGACCAGATTAAGAACATTCAAACCAACGACGACGAGCTGATGATATCTTTCGATGTAACAGCGCTATTCACCTCAAATGAACTAAACTTAGCAAAGGAAACTCTATCCTTGCTTCTCAACAACGACGCACATCTCGCAAAGTACACGAAACTCCAAAGTCAAAGTTTACTAGAACTCATCGATCTATGCTTAACAACATATTTTCAATTCAACAACAAAATCTACGAACAAACAAAAGGGACACCGATGGGAATAGAATAGGTATTGCACACAAACCAACAAAATCCCTACAATCAATCCTATGCAAACCAAAAGATGAAATGACAAAAGAAGACAAACCAAACATCATCTACAAAATAAATTGTGCCAACTGCGAAAAAACACTACATCGAACAAAGCGGACACCCTCTTCATGTTCGCCTGCATGAACATCAATTAGCTCACTTATATCAATGCACGTGGACAACTGGACACACATTCGACTGGAAAAATGTGGGGATTTTGGATAGAGGCGATTCCGAAAACATCAGAGAATTTTTAGAAGCTTGGTACTCAGATCAATCAGCAATAAACAAGCACATTGAGATCGATCCAATTTATCAACCAACCAGGAAAATTATGCACAAACATAGGAACAAAAATCAAACCAATGGGAGATACAACCAAAACAAAGAAGTAAACAATGACAGGTTTAATGTTAACAAGAACCAATCAACATCGAGGTGTACAGGACAAGCTGTGAACCATATGTGGAGAAATTCGAACACTGCACTTCTACCTGAAGTTTGTGCTGATGATGTCGTCCAGAAGAACGATGAAAGCTCCACTACCAAACCATCCAGCTCAGAGAACAATACTTCATCAAATCATCCATCTGAGCTACGAATCTTCTCCACGATCTCAGAAACAGTTATTTTTGTTAACTTGTGTTTATTCATGCTGTGACATGTTTGATTTATTTAATTTATCAAATTATCTAATTCAGTCAAAAATCCCTAGTCAGCGATGATGTTAGTCAATGGATTTTTTCGCATCAGATCTACACGCACATACATACATACAACTGTTATCTTAACACAATTTTCTCCCCTTTTCATACCACATTTTTCATACTCACTATAGTAAATTCTTATTTTCAGCATTGTTAACATGATCGGATGACTGGTTTAGTACACACAGTTAACCGGAGAACCATATAATCATTTATATTCGATGATTTTAGTGTTTGATTAAATTTCCCTGAAAATGCTTGAGCCAAATTGTCAAGCGAAATGTTAGATTTCATTAAAGTTTAATTTCTGAGATTCTTTACGTACATAATTTTCTTAATGTCTTACACGAACTCGGACCCCAACTACCGTGAAACTATTCGTTCGAACCTAAAGAAAAGTTCTTATGAAAGATATAAGTTCGAATCCCACAGGAAGTATCACTTCGATTAAGAATACAGCTACGCCTTGATGATGAATGGCAAATAATACAAAAATCAGATCAAGGAGGGTTTCTTTTCGACTACTTTTAAACCACCTAGCAAGTCGACATGGTGCAAAGGATGTTGAATCGCTTAGATTAACGACCACATTGTAACTTGATCGATAAAATTCGATCAGAACTAAGAAAGAGTAGAGAAACATAACTTTGTTAAGTACTCGGTAATTAATCATTTGTAAAGTTATCTTATAAATCACTATAATTAGGATAACATTAGCTGATATAATGTTTATTCAAAGTGGATTTAACAATTTCTAACTTGTATTTATAATCACACTATGCATTAATACAGATTGAATTACATCTATGTTATACATTACTTATATAAATCACATGTGATAATATCAAACAACTCTTCTCATCAATTGGTTCATTTATGATAAACGATTTAAAAACGTGTAGGTATTATATACACATATAAACGTGTGTAATTAACTTTTAGTAAAGAGATATTTCTGTTTAGTGCTTTTTTTTAACAAGGTTATTTTCTACAGAGAATCCTGGTGGGCGGCCTATGCTACTCCATAAGAGGTAACAGGCATAAGCAAGTAAGAAAATATTTCAGAAACCGTTTAAATTGCATTGTTTGTGTTTATGAAAGGTCCAAATAGATATGAAGTGAGAACGCACAACAGATTAGGAAGAGGAGAGGAAGAATTCTTACGCCCTGCTTTAGAGTCATTATAGTGAAAAACTGTTAAACTGTACAACATACTTTGTAACGAATTTCAAAGTTTCATGAATCCATAATAAAAGAAATAAAGTAGATATGAATATATACAGGTAAGTGGAATTTAATACTTGGCAGAACTAAACTTTACGTCGAAGTGGATTAACAGGAGTTGCAGCAGGTTGAAAGAAAGTTAAAAGGGCGAAACCAAAATGTAGTATCAGTCTATGAAGTTGCTAGCTTTTAGTATGAAGTTGTGGAGATTGTTGAGCTTCATTGAAATGACGAGTTGATCTAAACTAGATCATCATTGAAAACCTGGAAGCACTAGACGGTCGTTTTGTCCCAGTGCAAAACTCCCCAGCAGTAAGCATCCAAGATCCTATACGCAGGACTCTAACTCAGGAACTCTGGTCTCATGAGAACACTCGACCTCTAGACCAGAGTCGGGATCCCACGGAGTTAATGTCTAACATCAACCAATCGTGGATGAGCACCGCTGACGGGCCCCACACTAGGACGAAACAGCCGTCCAGTGCTTCCAGGTTTGCAAGAGTGGTCTGATATTGATCGGTTCATAATTTTAATGAAAGTTACTAACTCGTTGAACTGAGTCATGTAAGTGTAGGTACAGACTACTTGATTGGAGTCTGTGTGATTATTATAAGCAACTGCTGAATGCACTGAATGACAATTGAAAATCATTTGTAATAGCAGATACATTCATTTCTCTTCCTAAAATACTCATAGTTTTTATTGAGTAAACTTGTTTTTTTCTTCTCGAATCATATTGTATATACGTCTGATGTTGTTTACTACCACCGATACTCTTATTACTTCCAATACTTTGCGATGTGTCTAGATAATTTTGTCTAGTTGTGCTGATGTGGCATAATCATTAAGGTCAATGTATAAACCTTCAGTTAACCCATTAACTATTGTTATACGACTTAATGTTACTAATTTGTTGCCAGTCTACTACATACAGTTTACCCTATTCATGAACACTTTTGGTTTGTTGATGCGATATGGTCCAGTATATTTGCATACAAACCCATACTTACTTAAAGTGTAACATAATAGAGACTGATGTATAAATTCTCTTATAGACTTGAGGTAGGAAATAGAGAAAGGTTTGAGAATAATGAACCAATATGAAATCAGTTCACGTCGACTCAAGGTTAACTGTGAAGGTCAAGAGTGTAACCAGTCAACTCTAGGACGTTGAGTTATAAACAGAATGGTTGACACGAGATAGAAAAAATTGTAGTCAGAATTCTGATTGGTGATTTTAACACGTGATATCGATTAGCGATCTCAAGTCATAACACCTACTGTATCAGGTTTTATGCTTATTAATTGAAATGAAAACAAAAGATATATATATATAAAACAAAACTCACTTGGACCTGAATGAATTGTATTCACACGAGCTTGTTGTTCTTTTTCTCGACGATCTAATTCGGCTGCACGAGCTTCAAGTTCAGCTTGTCTACGCTCCAAAGCTAAGACGCTTTCATTACCACCACCAGCTGTAGCTTTTGAATATGGTGAATACATTTCCGTAGGTGGTATTGGTGGTGGGGGAATATCGAAAACATAATTTTTATTTCGATTATCTGAAGATGATTCGTTAGTTTCAGGTGTTAAAGATTCATATTCTTTGAAAGAAACGAAAAAAAAGAGTGAAGGAAAGGAAACAGAACTATTAGGACTAACAGAAAACTGGTCGACAGATAAAGTAACAAATTTCGTTGGATGCTTAATATTAATTAATAAGTCACAGATAAAGCAGAAGTGCTTCACTTCAATAACAAAACAGATTATTAGGGTTGTTTGATTAATTATCCAGTTTTCGATCGTTGTTCTTCATTTAATCACTATTAGTGAATGTGACAAATCATTAAATTGAGTCTAGAAAACAGCTACTGGTGGACTGCATGGCATAATTTGCATCATTAATCGACCAGCATTTTATTCATTATTTTAACAAACAAAGTGAGCTCAGAACACCGAACCTATGATCAACATAGTGAGTCGAACGCAACCTAAACCTGGAACATGTGTACATCGGTTCAAATTGCGGCACCCTATCAGCACAGCGAGATAAAATTGTCAGAGCGAATTCCAGAGTAGCATTATTAATGTGAATGAAAGATTATAGATCAGAGATATAATTTAAAATAAGAATTAGTGAAATAAAAATTTATGAGGAACCTAGAAACTCATGATCTAAAGGGCGACAAAGAGAATACATTTGGACCATTGGGGATGATTTTCAGACACGTCACTTAAAGTAGCTAACCATTGGTTACAATCATCACTTTGACGCCAACCAGGTAGTCTGAGCCTACCTACATGGCTCAGTCCAACAGTCACTGTCTTCAAGGACTGATGCGATATCTTAGTTTCCCCATACTTAGTTTTCTTCTAACCTACTTCATACGACAGCCATCACCACGCGTCAAGGTAGTTGTGGATGGGCATAAGTAATAAGATAAGAACAAGAATGAACATAAACAATTTATCCAACTCATTAAAGTAATGGAGCACTTCAAGTTGTTATCCTTCCTAATCGTACTATACTAATCAATAACAGTGATTAGAGCAATCGAACGCGAACCGTTGGAGTGGATATTCAAACTCCGCTTCTCCAACTTCAATAAGCGCACCAGAACCTTAGGTAAAAACATGAGTTAAAATATATTTTGGTAGCATATATGTTTTTATCTTTGTCTACATCCTGAATATACTAGTTCATAAGTTTGATTGATGTTTTAATTTCTTTAAATTTAATCGCATCAATATTCTTCTTGTACGGTGATAAAAAGTGTAGCAGCTTAACTTATGTCCATTTATGTTAGGTTATTTCATCTATTTATTTTAACACATAAATATTGGTACAAGGAGGCACCAAATGCATATGCCCCACAAAGATCTTATTTGATATGTGTGAGGGCTGTGATATTGCCCGGGTGCCCAAACCGAAGCAGGTGGTTTTCTTAGGGGGTCACACCCGGAGCCTTCAACCTGAAGGTCTGATCCACAAGACAGTAGAGCAACGTAGGAAGATGTAGTCCCATGGTAGCCGGTGATCAACGATTGGTCCATACGCCATTTGTTCCTTCAGGATACTGGAGCCCATATGCACCGTTGGTTTGGAATCAGGGTTTTCCAACTCCCCTAGGTGGACTCTCCATGTCCACCAACCGAGTTAAAGCACCGGACATTCGCTTTTCGTGCTCTCAATTTCGTAAACAACACTCGTGGTGCGAGAAGGCAGTGAGTAGGACTTCCCTGACAGAGGTTATATACGCGTGGCCATGTATGAGCATTTCGAGAGGGAGAGCGGACTCTCCCCACTCTCAGCCGTACCAGGGTACTTGGAGTACTACACTATTCATGAATAACTAACGACTAGTTACTATTTATCGAACTAAATGGTGGCCATTAAAAATTTTCATGAAACTAAAAATTCAAGTCCAGATGTCGAGTTAGTGAAAATTAAGTAAAACTAGTAAATAAATTACCTAATAAAATAAGAACCAAGTTATAGTGAAGTTACATTTAGTTACTATATACAGCTGTTTGGACCCTTATTATTACAACCCAGCTACTCTTATTGCTTAGTATTCTTTAGACACTATTTCACTTGACAAGTCACCAAATCAGAAAAAAGTTGGACAGGAATGCAATTATATTCCAAGTAAACAAAGGCTGAATGGAAATAGGGATCGCAATAAGGAGAACGTTAGTATATTTATTATCTTACACAAGATATTAAAGTCTTCTGCAAGTATCTGCTGGCACTGATTAGCTGCAAAATGCCCAATCAATGTGACCCAACACAATTCTTCATAGAACATGCTTTATTCCAATCTTTATCTCGCTAACAACAGTTTATTTCCCCAAGTAATAAGGATTTTCATCTAGTCTAATCAATTAAGTTAGATAAGTCCCTTATAAGTTAGATCCGTAAATCACTTGTCAAGTACAACTTCATCCACTCAACTTAAAACCATACATTCTTTTTGGTTTCGGGGCTAGGGATAATAATTAGATGCTGGAATAACCTTCGAATTAATGATCTACTGACTGAAAGCTAAATGCTCTGACTACTGCGTCACAGCTTCATAAAATAAATTGAAGAGAATAAATGAGAATATAAGGAGTCAGTCAGCAGCAACGTAGAATATCGCACGTACGTACATCAGTTCAAGTTGTCATACCACATCAGCACATAGATACAATTGTCGATTCAAATCCCATAATGATAAAGGTAGTAAGAGTATAACCAGTAATCGGAAACATTAGGGTTTGAAGATGTTATTCAAGGAGTATAATCCAGTGAAATAAATTTGGAAAGAGAAAAAAAGAAAGGGACATGAGGAATTCAGATTAGAATTCGGGAGAACACAAACAATGAATGCACCTGCGCCATTACGAACGATTTTGAACCATATAATTTAAGGTCTCTAACCACCGGTTGCTATCGTTTCGCGGATCCCAACCAAGTAGTCTACACCTACCACCATGTCTCAGTCCACTTGTCAATGACTTCATGGATTTGTGTCATGTTTTGGTCTGGCCGCCCCTAGCTTTCTTCCAACCTACTGCTATACCATAAAACAGCGTTCGTCGGGGCAGTCGGTGAATACAAGGAGTAGAACATGATCAAACTGAAGACAAGCATTACAGACAGTAACTTGTGTGTCAAGTACAATTTAAACCAAATATTTACAGAACAAATACGCTACATAGATTAAATATACTATAGGCTGCTGACCTAACAGTCCATAGCTAAAACTACTGTCACCAAATATTAGTTTGCTGGTAATTTTTTAGTGGAAAGTATTAATTAACTTCACGATTTTACAAATTTATGTGAGGAAAAATGCACTTAAACCAAATTTATTACCACCCCCTGGATTATACAACATAATTCTATTATAAGTAGGATAGAAATGATAACTGGAATATAATATTGATTATCGTTGAGTAATAGATGTATGAAGTATTATTACCAAACCAAACTTCATGCGCTCGGAAAGAAATACTAGGAAATATGAAAACTCGATCGAAGTAGTTATTAGCATAGCCCGTCTTAGAATTTTAATTTTTAGTGAATTCCTAACAATCAAATTAACCAGTGTCAATAGTAACATCGAAAAACTTAATAAGAACAAACCGAACTCATGAGTTATGTATTGAAACAAGCCCAACAACATAAAAGTCTACCACTATAATCTCATCACACTTACTTGGGGTAGGATCAGAAAAAGGATTGTAACCCTCCAATGACTCTTGATTGACTTTACTCTGCAAGAATAAACAATAACAGTTAGTAAGGACCCACAGAAATATAAAATAATAGATGTTATTATGCGAGGAATTGCTACGTGAACAATTTATGAGAATATCCTCGTTATAGACCTGTTATTCAACCCATTTTTACAAGATAATTCAGAAACTTAGCTGAATGTAAAACAAAGGTGACAGATATATTGGCACGGAGATACATCTATTTTATTTATTATATCTCATATTAGCACAGCGAGGACGAATAGGTAGATGGTAAGGGTGCAGGACGAAAGAAGGATAAAAGCCAAAGATTGTTACATCTGCAAATACGATAAAACGATGAGTAAAAACTCTGAAGCAGTAACAAAATCAATGAGCTCAAGCGGTAAGAATTAGGTGGGACATGACGAAGGTATGGAATCTTAACAAATTGTTATTTTTCACACTGGTATAACTTGGAAAATCGATAAGAAAAAGGAAGCAATGAAAATAATGCTAAATATGGTGGAAAAGTTACTTATTTATTTAAACACAAGCATCGGTACAGGTAGGCACCAAACAGATATGCGCCACATGAATTATTCGATGCGTGAGAGGGCTGGGATACTGCCCGGGTGCCCAAATCAAAGTTGAGTTGAGTAAAACATAAAAATGAGGGTTATTAGATAGTACAACGTTTAATACGCAGTACAAGATAATGAATGAATACATAGATGCTGTTAGAATAGGTTTGAGGCATGCTACCTAACGCTTTCAACTAAAGATTATGATAATCTTGCAGATAAATGGGAAGTCTGGTCCTTCCAACCTGACTGAATCTAATTCATAGGAGCGTTTTAAACTTTTGTTGTGTTTGTTTAGTAATCTCATATCTTTTTCCAAACTATTTTTACGCTAGCCAAGTGCATATCAACGTATTTAAATCGATGTAACGTTGAAAAAGTGGGATTTTGTATGATACATGACAAACACATCGGTATCAACAGTACTGGGGAAAAGCTGAACAATGAGACAGAAACAGTCATACTGAACTTGGTGGTAATGAGCAAAGCCTTGGGTATGTCAAACTGAAGTCCTTATGCCAAAACTTATTTACCCTATCCTAAAACTGATGACATGAAGCACAAATTGACGTTATAAGATATTGATTGGAATTTACAGTCTTCGTTTGTCTCTAAGTGGTTTGAGACCTACTAAGTGCGTTACAAACACTCAATTATTATTAAATAGCATTTGAAAATCCTTATTAATGTGATTTATTATTCATATATAATTTACTATGGACAACTGAGAACTAGTGTTTCCGTACTTCCATCGCCTTCCACTTACGTGAAAAACTTTGAATCTCAAATATTAATACGAGTCAGTTGTCGAGAACTGACCGAACCAAAATTCTTATTGACAATACGGCGAGACTATAATTCATGGACGAACCAATCGGATTTACGTTAACAGGTCTTAGATTTTGGCGCGAAACTCATTCACTCATTTGGCTAAATAGAGTTTTGGCACTATAGCTGATGTCAGTTCGCGATGAAAACCCTAAATCTAATTCCTAACCTAAACCATCAACTGTAAATCATAATCCTTATTCTTCAAACTGCTTTATTGTCTTCATTTAGCCCTAGTATGTAGGCGGACACTCTTAAGGTTAGTCTAGCGTCGCTCAAAGGTCGTCCATAAATTATAATCTCGGCGACAATACAAAATAGGTGGATCGAGGTCCCAATCTGGCATGGTGGTTGGAAAACACATTGACGAGCTATTTAATTACTCGAAACAACCATCACAAGGCTCTTTGAACTCTTGAATGAACTTCTTACACCACAGTTTTGGAGATTATCACCGAGATTATATATTTAAGAACAGTAAATAACGAACTAGTTAACACGTGATATTTCAAATATGAAACCATACTAGGCGCTTACGTTATCCCTCGACTTTTCCAGAGGCGGTAAGACTTACGTGTTACGTGAGATGAGACCATATACCCTATGTATAGGTTTAACAGTTCAATCGAAACAAAAAGCGCGTGACTACTTATTCGTGTCCTCAAGTTGCTACATTGATGAATATGATCTAATGACCGTTTTTAGTGGCTACTTATTAATTTAAAAACTTGGAGCATTTAGAGCCACTTCTATACTGCAAGATATTAGGTAACTTTTGAAAAAACTAAAAGAACTAACCATTTGAAAACACTGTCGAATAGCCCGCGACTAAAGGAGCACTTGAAGGACAGATTATTTATAACTTGCTTTGGTGCAATTCAAACCCCAAACTTTGTGAGGCAGTTTGCCTCTCGCAGGCTACTACTAGATAGCAAAATGATGTTTTTAGTTTCGGAAGGATATCTTTTTTTGTTATATTCCCTTCAAATCCACTGAACAAAATCAATATTTATTAATGGGAAGAGTGATAGTGGAGTTACATCTTGCGTAATCTATTTAATTACCCACGAGACTACATCAAATGTCTAGGTTCCTTTTGTCATCGCGAGGTCTTGCTATGCGACACTTTGAAAGTACAGAAGTGTATTATTGAGATTTTCGAAAGCTCAATTTCGTACTGCGGGGGTAGTTAGCCCAAACTTGTTGACGAAAATAAATAGCTCTGTAAGTCCTCGACATTTATGTTGATCCCATTAGTTCTATTGGATACACTTGCCATAAGGCACTCGGTCACACGTCCGCAACAGAACACAGGTGAGTACACCGTTCTACGCATCATTCACAACTTTTATCCAAGTTAAACTTAACGCCTAGCAATACATTAATAATCTTCCGAATATATTTTCGAACCACTTCATTTCTGATTTTTAATTTGACGGGATGGGCAAACTTGGTATATTGTGGTCATTTAGGTCTGGTTCATGTAAGCCGATAAACTAATGAACCTAGTGTAAATTTATTGCCTCGTCATGGCCAATCTGTTTGATCTTACTCCGAAGTCACATCATCATCTGCCCCACAGGGATTGTTACGGTGTTCTGATGCATACGAATCTTTGAAAAATAATTGAGATACCACCAGCAGAACAATACATAGAACATAAAAATGGTATGATACACATAACGACCACGTATGTAAGACTGAGGCAAACATACATAGGTTCACATACATATTTATGCACAACCCAACGTACATGTCCATATGAATGAATCGTGAACGATGTAATTCAGATTGTATAAAATAAATCTTGTTCAATACCTATAATGTAGAAATTTAGCTTGGGAACTTATTGTACTGTATCTAAAATTTACAAGACTCATCTACAAACCACAAAACTCACCTTTTTAATCCGCGTCCCACCATCTTATTTTCTGTGTATCACATTCCTACATGTAGAATGAAGAACACAAATATTCATGTATAGTCGCAGGATTTAAAAATTTCAACGTTATTCGTTAAAATATCTGATTTATTTATTAAAGTAGTGACATGACAAATGACACTGACTTTCTGTTGCGAGGAAGATGTGTAGTGGCATTGGACAATAGCCACACAATCTACAAAGCTATGAACACGAGACTACTCAGAAAATAGATATTCAATATTTAACGCGGAGGAATATCTAACAATGGAGAAGGCGCGAACATTGAATTGAATAAAATGGACTGGGTTTGATCGGATGGCGTGGCTCGTCCATGCAGGCGTGGTCCATCTCGATGTTACTTTATATCTTCTATTCATATTAAATATATTGTTCTTTCTCTAGCCTAACCTTGTTCTACATCATGTATTGGTAATTGATACGATACAGTGAGTTGGTGTAGTCGATGGTGTGACTTCCACGTAAGATCTTATAAATTAGGCAGTTATATCATGACAAATCTACAAATTTAGGATTAGGTCTATTATTAGAGCAGTACTAATATCATAGTAGACCATAATTCTACATTGGTGAGCCCAACTAAAGAAACGCAACCTATTATTGTTAATCCTTATTTCCACCTTAACCTTCTCAATCGGTTTTTATTTATGTAAACCCAGTATTCTAATAGTCCTTTGATTAATGGTCACATATATTATCGTAATGTTATATCTATTAGTTCTTATAACTTACTAGCTCTATCGATAATAAAAGTTGATCATCTATATACCAACTAATTAGCTTTGATGGTTCGTTAACAAGCCTTAATAGCATTTACCTGCTTCAGCGACATAGACTTGTTTAAACATCAAGCTCTAGCAAATATAACCTGTAAATAGCGTAAATATACATTGACTAGCAATGCAATCAAGGACTAAATAGTTATCTGGATCTAATTCTCAGTGTTCCTTCACTTAACACCTCATCCTGTTTTAAACTATGCACTATCCTGTAATATCTTTTCTTCCGACCACTGCCTGCCTAATTTCATATTCTCGAGTTCCATTGCCAAACAACAAGGATGACACTTCTCCAGAAACATACGATGGCTCGTTCAATAACAACCACACAATTATCTGGATTCATTCGATTGTTCTGATTCGAGCGAGTCCCAAAAACCTCAACAGCATCAAGCACCCTGGAAGTGATTGCCACATCGCATGTTTTATTCTGGATGCTTTTGGATCATTACTACTCCTCACGAATGGCGTTATATATGTCGTCCACTGAATAATCTAATTTTCAAAAATAATCCAGGCGAGTTCAACTATTTTACTGGATGATTTTTTTTGTACTTAACATGTATATGTTTTCCAGTTGCTTTTGCCACATATTTGTAAGTGTCCCTAGGCTAAATGCAGTAACTTCTTATGGAATGTTTATAACGCGTCATATTCCTGCCTGAAGTTTCACAAGCAGTCTTAACTTTAAAATTATTTTTCTGGTCATGTTCATTATTTTTAAATTTTTCTATACGTCAACAACCTGCATGTTAACCTGGCCCGTACATACGTTTTACTATATCTTCATATCTTTTGAATTTAGAAATCATCTGAATCGCCTTTAACATTTATCAATAAACCCATCATAGTCGTTGTTGCTAATCGTATTTGGGTTTATGGATTGGTTTATCATATTAGCAGCCTAAAATGCGAACATAGTTTAGATAATAAGATTAAAAATTCAGGTACTATCAACTGTACTAGTAAAATAACTAAATCCCTAGGTAGTTGTTGGCTAAACAAACGTTTAAAATCAAAACTCCGTAGCCTACTAGAGTTAACACTAAACGAATCTTTCTGAATTAAAATTTATAATTAAATTAGGCGTCTCGGATTCTTTAACGTTACAAATTTCTGATAATTTCGAATCACCTAAAGCAACAATACCTATTTTTCCACTGACTAATCCTCAATCAACACTATAACTAGTTAAACGTAATAGTTTCAGGATATCGTCATAAAGCATTGTCATGACTTGACAATCACGTAATATGATTGATAAAATTAATGAAACTATTAACAAAATCGGTCAGCAAATTGACTTATAATTATCACTAGTGTTGTTTTTCTTTTATCTTCATTCACTACGGATGATTACAGTATGTTTCTCTATCAGATGCTCACTCAGTAAATATCTCGAAACCTTGTCAGTCTAATTGATGGTTTAGCGACACAATCATGCATGCAAATAATCAGTATAAGCAGTCGAGCAAATCTCCTGCAAACTGAAAACATCAATGTCGAATTTACCCCAACATTGACTAAGGTTCAAGCCATTATCATAGACATGAGTTGGGAGTGTACTCCCCTTGGTTACAACTTATGTTCTCCCTGATAATCACATGAGCATCACTCACTATTAATCATCTTGTAAAAACTTATTTAGCTAAATACATCTTGCAGCACCACATCACTTCGTAATATGACCCATAGGCTTAACTGATTTTAATAACTTATAACCACTATATCTCAATTAAATCGTATTCCGCCTTATAATAAACTGCATACGTGCAACTAACTTGTATGCCCATCAGCCAGCAAGTATAAATATAAATAAATAGTCTGCCACAGATCAGAACATTGAGTCTAGAGCATGTCTCTTACGAATACACTCATGTTTAACGATTTGTTCCTAGCTATCTGTCCAAAATTCATATAATCATCACTCACGTATTTAAATTTTGTTTTGATAAACATTCATGTGTATTAGTAGTGTTACTAAGTTCTATCACGACCAAGTAAAAATGAGGTTGAGAAAATCTCCCCGTAACTAAATAAACCGTATCAAACTGACTGGAACACTAGTTGGAATTCTTCTCCACGGTAATACTTTTGTTCCTTCAGTTAGCCTACTAATACAGATGCAATTGGAATTCAACTCATATGGACAACTTACCGGCATAATCGTTATTTGATTTCATAATTTAAACCAAAACTAATACCAATATTAATATTTCTACAACATTCATTACTTTAATATTCCTAAACACAAAATACTTACTACCTATACGTTAAGTTATTAACCAACGGCTATTAACACGCATCGTTTTATTATTATTATCGTAATCCTGTTTTTTCTAGCTCAAATAATCTTCACCCAAATTTTCATTTCAAGCATGTTAAGGATGAAGGCAGATATTATAAAATTATTACATGTATTTCCCGACCAGATGCTGCCGCTTTCTTTCTGATTTATCTTTCAGCTTACCAATACCCGGAGGATTCTTATTATCCTTGGTAACCTCCGGCGCGCGACGATCCCAACCAATTTGGTATCGAACCAACATCACGTTGTTTCTGGTGGGAGAGTAGTGTAGTGGCATTGGACAATAGCCACACCATCTACAAAGCTATGAACACGAGACTACTCAGAAAATAGATATTCAATATTTAACGCGGAGGAATACCTAACAATGGAGAAGGCGCGAACAAGGAATTGAATGGACTGGGTTTGATCGGATGGCATGGCTCGTCCATGCAGGCGTGGTCCATCTCGATGTTACTTTATATCTTCTATTCATATTAAATATATTGTTCTTTCTCTAGCCTAACCTTGTTCTACATCATGTATTGGTAATTGATACGATACAGTGAGTTGGTGTAGTCGATGGTGTGACTTCCACGTAAGATCTTATAAATTAGGCAGTTATATCATGACAAATCTACAAATTTAGGATTAGGTCTATTATTAGAGCAGTACTAATATCATAGTAGACCATAATTCTACAGATGCATGTGTGATGTAAAATCAGCCGGGACGAGCGTAAAATGAATGTTGCAAACGGGCAAGAGGAACGAAACATGATCAAAACAGTCAC